CGCTATTGCAGGATTGGGCCCCAGCCTCCCACCATTCAGCCTCCAGAAGCTGTAGCCCCAGGTTCCGAGCCAGGACCGGAAGGAGTGGGGAGTGGAACACGGAGCCGAATGCCAAGGGCGGCCCCCCCCCCCGGGCAAGGGGACGGCGGGGGCAGGCGAGGCAGCTGCAGGGCAACCCGGTGGCAGCAGCCGCCCTGCGCAGACGCTCCCAGCAGCAGGCCCACGAGCAGGGAGCGCCCCGGTGTGGGCTCGGCGCCCCAGGCTGGCGGGTCCCAGAGCAGAGCGGCCTCCAGCTCGCCGGCCTCGCCTCCCCAACGCTTGCGCCTTGGCTACCGGCCCCCGCGACTTTCCCCTCTGCAGCACAGAGCCAGCCTGGCCGGCCAGTTGCAACGCGCTTGAGACGTCAGCTGGAAGGAGCGCCTGTCCTGATCGCTGGGATGGAGGGCGGCGGAGAAGAAGGCCGGCCGGCCGCTCGCAAGCGCTGCCACGCACGCGAAACACACGCGTGTGCACAGCAACGCTCTGAAAAGCGGAGCTACCAGAGGAACTAGCGGGATCTTTCACAGCCCCGTCACGTGCTGCCAGGCGCCCGAGGAGCTGAGGGCCCTGACCCGCCCCAGAGGAGGAGCGTGCTGGCGCCAGGGGGCCCCTGCAGAGCCGCCCCACAGCCGGGGACACCACCAAGAGGCCCCTCCTCTGAGCTTCCCTCCGAGCAGGCAGCGGGGATGAGTTTGGATCGCAGGGCACGGGCAGGTCCACACCAGGCCGGGGCTGCCATTTTGGGGGCCTGGGGCTTCCTAGGCTTCCCGGCAGGACCAGACCTTCGGTCAGGCTGGACATGGACGTGTCGCCAGTGCAGGCCGGCCGGAGCTGGGCTTCTACGTCCAGAGCTTCGGGCCCCCACCGTCACTCCGGCTGCTGCGCACGGAGCAGCTTCTGAGGGGGCTTCAAGGCCGCCCCTGGAGAGCACACCGGGCCCGTCGAGCCCGAGGTCCGCCCAAGCGCCTGTTCCTGAAGCCAGGTCCTCGTGCGCCGGACAGACGGGAGCACGGCTGCAGCTGGCCGAAGGTGCTCCGAATCACAGGAGGCCGGAAGCGGCTCCTGATGAAACCCCGCGCCATGGATCCTGCTCCCTTAAGGGGAATGCACCCCCCCCCCCCGCAAAAGCAGCTCGGGCTCATCTGGATGAGCTTTAGTGTGCTCACCAGCATCCAGCCCACTCCTGTGGATCTGGCACTGATCCAGCATGTGGCCCGACGGCGATGGAGAGAAGAATCGGCCGCTCTGCCCTGTTCTGCTGTTGCATGGAGCGGGCAAAGTCCCACAGGAGAAGGAGCTGGCTCTCATGGAACCCCATTTGGGAGAATCCGTGAGGCCGAGCAAGTCCGCCAGGCACTCCCTTCCAGGGACAGCCACTGCCCAGGCGTGAGACCCCTGCAGGGCAGCCCAGGCCACCTCCCCAGAGGATGCCAGGACCGACGACACTGAAACGAGCTGGTAGGTCAGGGACAACGAGCAGAAACACGTTCCCCGCTTTCCTCCCGCGGCAGAGCATCACTGAGGGCGACCTGAGCGGCGTCATGCCAAAACCGGCCCTGAACCCCACATAGGCGCGCACCCGGATAATCTCTTTCATCCAAGGATGTCTGGAGCTGGCTCTGAGCTTCTGGGCGAAGTCCTTCCTCAGGAAAGTGACATGAGCTACTGGCCTGAAATTGGGCAGGTCTTCCGGGTCCAGGGAGGGTCTCACTACTACGTCTTTCCGGAGACCTGGGCCCCCCCCCCCCCCCCCCCCCCCCCCCCTGGCCCAGCTGGCTGCCTCCTCATGGCATCCTGCGTGAGCCAAAAGGGGTAGAATCCGGTATGGGCGCTGCCTGTCCACTCCAAGTCCGCTGGCAGCGTCCCTGAGCCTAGTAGCCGAAGCTCATCCAAGAAAGCAGGGCCAGAACAGCTCCCCAGATTCCCCTGTTCTGACCCCAGACTCGCAGGCCTGGCAGGCGTGAGGGGTTTGCCCTGGAAGTGCCGCGCAAGCACATCCCAGGCGCCCCCGACGGCTCAAGGCTCTGCAGGGATCTACGAGGGTTATGTGGCGGTGGAGCGAAACTTCATGGCCTTTTCTGGTCTGGCTGCTGTGCCATTTCTGCTGGCTGGTGCTGACCTGACCTGCAGAGCGCCCAGCCTGGCGCTCACCCTGTTTTCTTTTAATGGCAGTACTTCGCACAGGCGTGTACAGAGGCAGGATCCTGAAGTTGTGCAGGTGCGGTCTTTTTCCAGTCTTTAGAAGTGGGATGCTCTTCTGCAAATGCATGCGATCCCGAGGCTGCCCAGGAAGGGAATAAGTCCCGGCGGGGCTGTGAGGAAGGTGCGTGGACTTGCGCTTGTGGGGACTGCGCAAGGCCGCCGATAAAATGCAGGCGCTGAAGGCCACAGCAGTATTTGCACCAGTGCCAAGACCACCCCCGCATTTCACAGCCTGTACAAAACGCTGCTCGTGCAAAAGGTGGGACCCAGAACAAAATCTGGAGGGCCCCCCCCCGCCCCCCTCCTGGCAGGGAAATGCTGTGGGACCCCCGGGCTTCAACTCAAGCACCCCGCAGCGCTGGGCCCCCCACAAGGCTGTGCCAGGTGGGGGGGATGCCAGCACGGAGGCCTCTGCCTGCCCGCAAAGGGCACCCCCTTTCCGGACACCACCCTGAGCCAGGCCTGGCAGCAGGCTCCTTCCGGGGAAGGGGGCCGCCCCCGATGAGCAAGCCCCCTGCCGGGAGAGCCCGCCCCAGCCGGGGTGCTGGCAGTGCGGGCCTGGGAGGGGATGGGCTGGGGGACGCTGGGGTCGCCTGCCCCCCAAAGCGCCTGGAGTGGCTGTGCTGAGCGGAACCATTGGCAGCGGCAGGACGATCCATCATGCACCGGGGGGGGGGGGACACGTCAAATGGAGATCCAGCCAATTAAATTGATTTCCTTGGAAGCACCTGGCCTGACTAGCACTGTGCATGCTTAATTCTGCTACCCTCCCCAGGAGGCCGCTCCGGCCTTGGGGGGCCCTTGGAGGAGCCCCGGGGAGCCCTGCTGTGGCCCAACCGCCCCAGCCGGGCCCCAGCGGGGTGTCGCGTCCTCCCCCGCCATGGGTCCAAAGGAGGAGCGGGGCGGTGGCCCACAGGGGAGACGGGCTTTGCCAGAAGGGGCTATGGAGGGCAACCGGGGAAAGGGCGTGGAGGGGGCCTCTCCAGGTGGTTTCCCGGGCTCACACACTGGCCTGGCAGAACAAGGGGGGCAGTCTCAGCCCCTGTCGCTCACTCGCCCCCCCCGGCCGAGGGGCAAGTCCAGCCCCGACAGGTCTGGGCTGGGGTAACAGAGAGTGAGCCAGCCTCCCGGTGGCACACGGGACGGAAGAGGCCCCGACTCTCCCTGGCTGCCTCTGCCTGCATCTGCTCTGCTCTGCCCGCCAACTCTTCTTCCACTGCGGAGCCTGATAAGGAAGGCGACGAGGGGCCGGTTGCCCTATAAAGCATCCACAAGGGGAGCCTGCAAGGCCAGCCCCCACAGAGAACGCTCCCCAACAAAGGGGGCCTTCAGGACGGTCCCTCCTGTGAGAGGCAGAGCCAGAAGCGGGAAGGTGGCCCTTGCCGGCGAGCGGAACGTGCCAGCCGAGGAGCAGGCGACGGAGCGACGGAAGAGCCTTTCCGAGAGGGGAGGCGAATGCGCTGCAGCTCTGGATGGCACGGCAGCACCGACTCCTGCTGCTCGGGCCTCGCTTAACCTGGAGCTCAGTGCCGGCACCGAAGGAAACAGCCCGGGGCAAACCTGTGCTCGCCCCGGCGCCAGCGGCACAGGGCTGGCCTCCCTGGCGATGCAGCCACCCATCTTTCCCGCTGCCGCCACTCCTCTCCCAGCTCTGCGCCACGTCGGCCCTGCGTGACCGGTGTGCTGCCCCTGCAGGCATGTTCTGAGCCTGTTCTGAGCCTGACGGAGGGACCCGGCCGCAGTCGGACGGTGCAGGCCCTGGCCCAGCCCTGTGCAGGCGGTCACTCTGGCCACCCCTCCGTGCGCCTCTGTCCTGTGCCTCTCCCCTCCTTACCCCCGGTCCAAACCACAAGCCAAAGGGGCGCATCGGGCACACGCTGTGGCAAGCCAGTTGCCATCCAAGCAAGACCCGAGGGTGCCGGGCCGGGAAGCTGGGCTGGCCCTCGTCCTGCGGCCCCTCGGCTCCAGCAGGCACCCCTGCAGCGCGCCACGCGTTCCTCGGCGCAGAGCGGCAGGGCAGAGCCCCTCAGAGCGAGCCGCGGCAAAGCAAGGGCTGCGGGCACCCTGCCTAGGCCCCAGCCGGCCACGGGGGCTCCCGCTGCTCCTGCGGAGGAGGCCCGGTGGCCAGCTGGGCGCCTCTCCTCCCGCCCAGAGACTGGGGCGTGCTGCCTGCCCCCAGTGCCATGCAAGCCACGGCCACCCTTTGCCTCGCGCTCGTCCCCCGGCCCCGCGCATCGCCCCTCCTGCACCCCCTTTGGCCTGGCTTGCAGCCTCACCCCCCCCCCCGCCCCCCCCGTTCCCGTCCCCCCCCCCCCGCCAGCTTCAGAATTTGCTGCAGGCTTTCTGAGGGCAGGGACCTGGCCTTACATTTTGCGTCTCTGACGTGACAAAACCTGACATTCATTCTGGATAAACTAACCAACAACAATTAACTTAACAATTACTTCAATGGGCAGGATTTGTTCAAATTCTGACTGCTGCTGCTTTTATTTTAACTGTTATATTGATTGTGAATTTTATTGTGCTTTTACTTTAGTTAATCGCTTTCTCAAATGTTGTGGTTAATTTTATTTGCCGCCTGGAGGATTGTTTTACCGAGAGGATAGAATGGCTGAAAACAAAGCAGCACAACCCAATTCAGAAAGGCGCGTCTCTCTGCATGCCCCTTCCACACTCCCCAAGCAGCCCCCCAGGAGGGGGCAGGGGCAGGGGCAGGGGCAGGGGCGGATCGGCTACCCGGTGACGCGGCGCGTACTCACGTCCCACTTTGAGGTTGACCCGGTACTTGAGGTGCCACGAAGAGCCCTCGTAGCAGGAGTACTGGCCGCTGTGGGAGAGGTCCACACTCTGCAGCACGAGGCGGGAGCCGTTGAGCAGCGACGCATCCAGGTCAGTGCTGTTGGCCGTCCACGTGACCGGTGCGTCCTGGTCCACGGACCCGCACGGGACCGTCACGTTGCTCCCCAGCTGCGCGTAGTGGACGTGGGATTCTGCGGTTCAGAGACAAGAAAAGATTACTGTCGACTGCGCGGGCCGTGGGTCCCCGGGAGAGGCCGCGGATTGGGGCGCCCCGGAATCTGAAAAGGGAGGAGGTCAGCACGTCCCCCTCCCTTTCCTGCCGACTTCTCCACCCCGGAGGCGTGGAGGAGCTGGTGGAGAACCAGACGGACGCTGCGTCCAGATGCCCCTCGCTGAGCGTCTCAGAGTTACGTGCTCCGCAGCTGCAGGCTGGATGCGTGCTCAGAGGTGCAGCTCCATCCCGAAAGCCCTGCGCCGCTTGGACAAGATCCTGTGCACCCAGGCCCGTGGTTACCTTTCCTGCTGTGACGGAGCAGACACCGGGTACCGGGCAACAGGTGAGCTCAGGCTTGCCGGCTGCAGCAGGTAGAAAAGCCAAGCGGCTGAGCTGCAGCGGCCTCCGAAACCTGCTGTCCGAGCTGACAGCCACGAGACACGGTGCCATGCCACACGGAGCGCGAGCTGCAGGCAGAAGCGGCCAGTTCCAAGAGAGAATGAGAGGAGGAGGAGGACGCCGCTGGGCGGAACCAGAGGATCCTGACCCTCCCTTCAGACCCCGGTCACACCTGCCTGAGATCCTGCTCGCCCGGCCTTGTGCTGCTCTCGCTGCCGCCAAACCGTTCACAAGAGAGAGGTTGCAAGATATGCCACGGAGCTGCGGGAGTGACAGCGCGTGAGAGGCACAGACTACCGTGCACGCCAGCGACAATAAATCCACATTAAGGCTCTGCTGTTGCTGATGGATGCCATTAGCAAAATGAGTCCACGCGGTAGCCAACGGCTTGTCTTACTCCAGCTGCCGGCCAGCAAGGAAGGATCAGCTTTCCTCCGGGGACGGAGGGCGAACGCTGGTCAAAGGCACGATGGATCGACAGTTCTCATGTGAGCGGTTTTCCCAGGGGTGGGGGGCAAGGGCAGGAAGACCCGGGCATTTCACCCATGGGCTGACCCGAATCTGGGCAGAAACCAGGAAGTGGTTGCTTTAAAATGCTGGGGGGTGATTCCCCTTGGGGAGATGCTTCCCAGGTTTCTGGTTCCGTGGCTACCGCATGGCCCGGCCTGCATTCAAGCGCCTTGGGGCGCAAGATGATGCTTGAATGAATTATAATCCGACTGGGCTCCCAGTCCACCAAAAGCGGGGCCCCCCAGCGAGGCGTGTGTGAGACATTTAGGGCATCCAGCTGCAGCACAAGGGGGAGCCGCCACCTCCTCGCAACCCGACCACAGCGCTTCGGAGGGGACAGATGGAAGACATGCGGATCATTACCTCTGAATAACCCTTATCTGCATGCTTTTTGGGACGCGCAACAGAATTCCTGCCGGCTGGCCAGGCGTGACCTCGCCTTCCACGAAAGCTGTCTTGACTCTACCCTCGTTCCGCATGTTTATCTACACAACTAATAAATCTGCAGCCTTTGCTGCGGCCGTTGCCAGTCCAGCTGTGCAGCATCAACGCTTTTCGCGCCGCAGGAGGCCAGGCCGGCGATGGGAGAGCCGGACCGCGGCCAGAGCGCGGCAGCGGGGCAGGAGGCGGGCGCAGGGCCCGGGCCGATGGGCGGCCACTCCCCGTGTGCTTTCGGACACGGCCGGGTCCCGAGCCCACGTTCACAGGGATGGCGGGGAGGCACCCATGGGAGGGGCACCCCCATTTTGCACCTGCCGGTTCTCACCAACAAAGCCTCCCCCGGACCCCCGTTCAGGTCTGCAGGCTCCCTTCTCTCTGCAGTAGCACATTGGTGGGGAAACGGGGCACAGCCTCCGGCATGTCTGCTGGCTCTTGGAGCCGAAGAGACGCCCTCCCCTCCAGCTGGACGCCACAAACGTATCTTGCTGCCTTAGCAGATGTGCGTGAGGCCGGCAGGACACCGGAGATGAGCGGAGACGAGCGGAGGGCTGCTCCGGGGCTGCGCAAGGGGTGAGCGGCGAGAGTGTGGGGGCAGCCCCTGCCCTCCCTGGGGCTGGCCTCCCTCCTGCCTGAAGCCTGCCCCAGATGCTTCATAGGGCAGCCCCCACCTAGGGGCGCCAGGAGAGCTCGGCTTGCTCCGGCAAAGGTGCCTCCAGCCCACGCCAAGCCAAGGCAGTGCGCAGGGCCCCTCCCGCTCAGCCAAGCACCCCGCCCCCCCCGCCTTGCACCGCTGTGCGCCCTCCGCCCGGGGAGGCACCCCCACTCTTCCAGAGGCCTCCCGGGCCTGCAAGGCTCAAGGCTCCGGCCAAACTGCTGGGGGGGCACTCCTGGCTCCACGGGGAGTTCCTCCCGCACCCTCTCGCCCGCGTGCCCAGGCGGGGGGCCTTCTCCGTGCCCGGGGGTGGTGGCGGCCGCCTGCCACAGGCGCCTTTGCACCGGGTTCATTCTGCGAGCAGCGGGGCCGGGGCTGGGCTGCTCACGTGCCTGCCAGTCTCTCCACACACCTGTGGCTCCGTGTAAGCACACCATCCGTTATGCGTGGAGACGGAACAAGGCGCTGGGATCCAATTAGCCCGCGAGCGCCGACTCTCTGGCTGGTTGGCCCACAGCGCCAGCACTTTGCAACCGCACAGCTTGTGTCAACCCGGATGAAATGCTCATGCCAGGAGGCACACGGGGGGATGCAGAACACGCCGCGCCTGCCCCGGGCCCTCTGGTCCCCTGGCCAGGAAAGGCCGTCGCGAGGCCTTCTCCTGGAGCTCCCCTTCGCATTGGAGAGGCCGCTAGCAGCACACACGGGCCTGGCTCACACAAGACAACCCGGATCGCGGGCTGAATAAGGGATGCGGCAGACCAAGGCACGATTTAGGGGCCGGGCAGGTCAGCACCTTTCCGGTGTGTTGCAGATAACATGCCAGAACGTGCGAGCTGAGATGTGCCGGCGCCCGAGAGCACGTGTGGAGCATGTTGAAGGGCCACCGCTCTCCCAGTTGGGGGCTAACCACAAGGAGCTCAAGCGTTCGCAGCCCAGCAACGAGCCTTGGACTTTCTCCTGGGCTGCCCGTGGTCAGCAGCACCCGGCAAGAGCAAGCGCCCCACTGCGCCTCTTTTCGTGCCCCACGCGCAGAACAGAGGGGTGCGCAGGTCTGCGTTCCTTCGCCCCAGGCGCCCGCGGTGGGTGTGGCAGGGCCCTGCGTGCGACCTGCGCTGGCACCGGGGGCCCCCGCATGCCACGCAGAGCCAGGGTGGTCCACGGAGTGCCTGCGCCTCGGCACCCACTGCCACCATGGACGGTGCCCCCGGCCACTGCTGGTTGCGCCGTAAGCCTCGCCTGCGAGGACACAGGCCCCGACGCTGAACCTGCAGCCACGGCGGGACACGAGACGGCCAGGCAGGAAGCGGAGGCCCTGCTCCTCGAGTCCTCCCCTTGAACTTCCAGGAATGGAGGGACCCCCCCCCCCGCAAGCAGCCTCTGCCGGAGGATGAGTTGCCCCTGCAGCCCGGAATCCCACCTGCAGTGACCCCCCAGGCGGCAGCGATGCTCTTCAGAGCTCCGCCGCCTCTGAACACGCGGGCGGCTTTCCACCACCATGGCGTGCCCAGCACAGGTGGGAAACCCACCGCCGGCAGGACCCAGGTGGCACCCCGCCACCCCCCACCCCCCAGCCATGCCCCACGTGGGCCGCAGGCCCTCCGTCCGGCACACAGGACCACACTGGACCAAGAGAATCGCTTGCGCTCCCCCCTGCCACCGCCGCCGCCTCCTCCACGCGGAGGCTGAAGCGCCAGGCAGGCGGAGGCTTTCCGGAGCGCAGCATTAGTGCCTCCCGCGTGCCGCTTACCTATTTTGAGAGTGCTCCTCGTCGCAATCGATCCTTTCTCCAGCAAGAGGAGCAGCGACAGCATAAGGCAGTGGCAACTGAGAGGCATGCAAAGACGCGCACACACAGCCCCCAACGTGGCAACGACGGGCCAGACGTTCCCACACAGCGAGGCTGCCTCTGATCAGGCGCGCCTCAGCTGTGGGTCCTTTGTCACGTCTCCTCCGCCGTTCCGTTCGGGAGAGCTGAAAAGGCTTTTGACTCAACCTGCTTCGGAGGGCCTGATCAGGCGGAATTTGCAGAATCCGCACATGGCAACACAAGCCGCACAGTTCAGCCGACAGGTGCGGTGTGCGTGCCCCTAATGCGCCACCTGCAGAACTGACGGCTTCTGAAAATTAGCTGGACAAAGACAGAAATGTTTCCAGTTTAGAACTAAGATGAGAAGTCCACTTATTTCAGTATCTGCACTCATTCAGATCAAAAGGCGCACAAAGAGCACACGCTCTGAGCCTGCTAATGGTCTAGAATCAAGCAATGGCTCTGGATCTGTTGCGTCGCGTGTAAATTTGACTCCACGTCTGTAAAAATTGTCTTTTGTTTCGCCTGTGAATTTGACTCCTGCATCCTGCCTGCTCTCCTTTGGAGCTCATCTTTGGCGGTTCCCGTTTGCCTTCACCTGCTCGCCTCTTGCGCCTGTTCCTTCCGCTTTCTCCAGGGCAGGCTGCCATCTTTGCTTTCTCTCTTCCTAATGCGATGAACTGTTCAATTCCCGGAACAGGCAGCAGCCCAGCATCGGCGAAGGCGCGGATGCCTTTGTTAGGAAGCAGACGCTGGGCTGGGGGCTGGCGTTGGGTTCAGGGGGGCAACGCCGCGTCTGCTGAACGAAGGAGGAGAAGACGAACGGCTGGTCCGTCAGTCCTGGGCTCGGCGACGGCAGTGCCCAGTCCTGGGTTTGTTTCATTATGAGTACAGAGTACAAAACCACATTTGCAATCTATCAGAGCGAAAACCACACTGCAGAACTTATGAAAGAACGTGAACATCCATACATGAATTCCTAAGCATTTCAGGTACACCATGGTTTTCAAGCTCCGAATTTTGAAGTTGTTGTTATGTGCTGGGAAGTTGCCTCTGGCCTGCGGTGACCTTATTGTCGATGCCTTCCAGAAGGCCTTGTCCTTGGCAGCTCAGTTCGGTTCTTGTCAGCTCAAGGCTGGGGTTTCTCTATGGAGTCAATCCATCT